AACCACCCACCGCCAACACTTTGGCTACTCTTTTACCAACGAATAGTGGGATTAACCGTCACATTATAACGCCCTCACGGCTGAAAGGGCGAGCATGTTTGGCGGGACGGGGATTCGAACCTGCGACCCTCAGATTGCGAGTCGAACGCCCTAACAGCCTGGCCATGCCGGGCCCTTCACAAAGAGACTTGACGAGATATGTTTCAATGATAATAAAAAACAATGCCGAAAATTGCGAATCTTTACAATCTTCAATGCATACAAACATGTCAATAATGTTTAATTACATATATATTATCTGTAACGGCTTGTGAACATTCTTGCGCATACATACTCCTCGTCTGAAGTGTCATGTATTTTGCATACTTATATTACTTCTCTTTGGAATTATTAGAACATCTTCAATGATGACAGCAAGAATAAATAGCAATTAATTGAGAAATATTTCTAAAATTCTATTTTTATGGACTATTAAGTGAAATTACCAGAGACTACAGAAAAAAAAGAAAGAGCAAACTGTTCAAGATTCCGGCTTTTAGTCTCCTTCAAGAATTATGCATATAAAGGAGAACCTTTATATCCATAACTCTTGAAGGAGGCTATTTAAATAAACACAATTTTGAATAAAAAACTGCACGTTATTCATAAAACACAAATATATGCATGTTTATATCGTTAGGACAATCAAGTGTGTTACAATTAACGCTTTTACGGGGAGACAAGCAGAAATCCTCCCTCCTCCCCTTATCAAATAAAACATAATAATTGTTGATCAAGAAAAATTCTGACAATAATTAATTTTCCAATACATATGTTGATCAACAGACGATACTAATTGCAGACAAGCCTGTGGGTATTTTTTTAAGAATGAAAATAAAATTAGGCTTGAATAAAATGAGATTGTATATTACTTGGGAAAAACCAAAGAGAAGATGAAACTCTTCTTCTTTGTTATAAAATTTAAACATCACGCTCAAGGTAAAACACTTCATCACTCCCAGTTTTCTCTTTGTAAAAACATTTGTGAAATCATAGTTGAACATAAGTGTCAAGAAAATGCGATTAAAGGCCAGTTTTCAATGCAAAGCGTGCTTTATTGACAAAGAAAAGTGCATAAAGTACATTTACAAGGCAAATACAAGAGTATTTTGTTTCTATTTCCAACTGTTTGTTTATTTCATTTTTACTAATAAATACTTTTATTATGATGTAAAGTACATATTCGTGACAGATACAGTATAGTGTGAAAGGTATTTTGCTGTAATTCTTTCACTATTGATCATCCTATAGCATAAAGAAGAAACTGAAGACACCATTTAGTGAACTGAATCAAATGATTTAAATAAGAATGATTAACGTTTTTTGGCTTTGATTCACAGGAAGCCAAGGATTACTAATGAGAACTGATACACCTTTAAACCGGTCCGATTCACGGACGAAGAACGAGACAAAATATAGATAAAGCCTTTTAACATTATCTTCCTCATCAGAAATTGGTGAGATAAACATGGACAAAACAATAGTATATTCAAATGCAACTAATTATCGCCATTAAACTAAAACGAGCTTACTTAAAGATAGTGAGTGACGAAACCTAAAAGCAAAGTGTTGTTAGAGCAGCTTGTGGATAGAGCAAACAAGATTTATCAGACACTGTTTACCATGTTCATTATGTGTATTATTCTAATGAAACAATTAGGACCAACCAACAACATTTCGTGCTATTGTAGTATATGTATCATGTCTACTAAGATTTTATTTGTACAGTATCAAGCTTTTAATACATTAAACAGAACTGGAGGGTTTTGTTTACATCTCATGAGTTCAGTAGCATATTAGGCCTGCGAATACGTGTAAGAGATACGTGCTTTGAATAAAAGCTTTCGATATTGTATAGCATACTCCCAGAAATCCATACAAAGCTATAAATAACAAGATTGACATATAACTCGAGAGAGAGAAATGGATAAAATGATATATAAAATAACAGACAGACAAACAGGTTAAACATGTTAGATAGATGGAATTACACAAAAGTTTAAACTAATAGAAATATAGATGGCAACGAACGGATGATAGCTATTTATCTAGTAGCTGAAACAGTTGTTGCCAAACGCAATCGGTTGACCAATATTCATTCGTTTAAAATATAATATTGGAGAAGGGGAGAAGGGCGTTTGCTCACAGAAGCCTTTTGAATTATTTCCTGTTTTTCAGATATATATAAACATTACCCTAATAACAGATCATTCAAAGTATTATGTTTCTATAACCGGGTGAATGATAAGGGTATTATATATTTTTGTTCCATTCCTAAATTGTTCTTCACATTTCATCATAAACTACTTGTCTCTCTCAGTTAAGTTCTGAACAACTTAGAATCGTGAAGAAAATGTCTTTCCTTTTAAGTCGCTTACGTAGAAACCGTGTTTCTTCATCATCTTGAAGACGTATTTTTCTTCTGTTCATTGTTCGGGCCAAACTATTACAATAGGTGAAACTACTGTGGTGTTTGAAATATTTTTACGCGCCATAAGTAACCTAATATATGTATATAGGTAATGTGTAGAGTAGAGAACAATCCAAACACCATATTCATAGACAAGCAAACACTTGACGAGATATGTTTCAATGATAATAATAAACAATGCCGAAAACTTGCGAATCTTTACAATCTTCAATGCTTGGTTTGCTCGTGCCCAAGGTTACTGAAATACATCTAATTCAGGAAAGGTATGGCATATTCAATAATAGAATGACCTTCATGCTTGTTTTCTTTAAAACAAAATTCAGACTTTTGGTGATAAAAAAGTGCCATTCTATGTAAATAGCATTATACGAATTACTTATTATAAACAAAAAACGAAGGGTGCCAAGAGTGTCATTTTCTAAGATAATTTTCGCGATTTCCATTTCACTAAATGTTAATACAGATTAGAACGTTGTACACATTGATTTGCATAAGAAAACAAAAACTTTGATAAGTGGCAGAAAATTAATTTGGGTATTTTAATTGTTGTTGTAGTTTTTATAATATTAACAAGGTCCAAACAAACTGAGTATTTGTATACACTTTCAAGCAGGCGATTATAATTCTTACTGGGCATGTGCAGCACGAGCCACGAAAATATAAGCTTTTGAAAGCGATTAGTAACAGGTTAAAACATGTTTGTATTAGTATTGTCTTTTCAAATAAAGTGATAAATATTACACAAGTATACTTTTTTGTCATAACTAGTACCCATTATATTAAGCGTTGACAGATTTTTTAAACAAAAACTATTAATTAACTATAAGTACAGAACAATCGCCACCAGAGACAAATAAGAGTTTTTACAGTTATTGTGTCACCTCGCAAGCGTAATAATTCTTCAGAACAGTTGAATATGTCAACATTACGAGCACAAGGACTTGTGTAGCGTACAAGACTAAACTGGCGAAGAATCGTGTTTTTGTTGTTTTAGTCTGGAGTGTAGTAACTTGTAATTCTACTGATCTGATATGCTATGGTATTGAGCTTTACTAACAGCAACTTACTAGAGAACCAAATGTAGCTGATATGGCATTGCACGTTGTTATCCCTAATGGGCAAGTTAAGAAAAAAGAAACTCAAAAGCAAGATTAGTCTTACAATGATATTTTACTACATTTGTTATCCTTATAAGGGCAATGTTTCATTAGTTTAGGCATTACACATCATAACTTCATTTTTCATACGTGATTGACATGGGTGGTGTTTGGACTAGTTTGTTAAAGAGTTCAGTGCAGAGTAAATACGTGCTACTCTACTCGGATAATAGTGCAATTTGACTTTCACCTTTATAACGCATCTACGACTCCAAAGTGCCGAGCGCGATTTATTTTATTTGTGTGTGTGTGGTAACAGGGCGCCAACCATAGAGCTTCGGATTCACAGTTTAGTACGCTAACCATGGGCCACGCTCAACCGCGAGGGAAGGACATTGATGATATGCCCAAGATTAAATGAGAAGATTCAAGTATACCTATAATCTAAAAATTTCTCTAAAACACTTAATGGATTTGTCAAAATTAATCATATTTATTACAAAGTGTTTTTTAAAATACATTTTGAGTAATATCAATCTAAGCCTATTATTCATTATGGGAAGATCGTAGGCATATCCGAAACAGCAAAACGTTAAGAAAAGTGGGGGTTATCGAATAAAAGAATCCCCTCCCTAGTTTAAAGAGGAGTATTTATACATTTTATCCTTCCTTTTGGCTGCAACAAATAGCTCATGTTACAAACAAATATTAGGTTTTCAATTTGTTAGAAAGAATATAAGTTAAGCATTAGTTTATTAATAATAATCCAAACTTAGATAACGAAAACGAACAGACAAATAACTTGATTATTATTATTTTGTTTCAATTCCGTATGGAATCTTCATATTTTTTGAATCACTGTTTTAAGGACTTGTGAAGAAATAAAATTAAAACAATCACAGGATATTTTATATAAATGTAAAAGGCAACGATACAATATGCCTTGTTTTAATTTTTGAAAATTACCTATCGTAAGACGTTACAATTTTTTTTAAATAAGAGAACATAATTCTAAAGTATCTGGTTCTGAATTGAAATACGTAAATGTTTCATCGAACTTTATTGAGCGATGTATATTGGTTTTGAGACTCTACATCTTAGCATAAACATTAAAACTTTTAAGACACTGTACAGTCATCAGGTTCACTAGAAGGGTTGTCTTTCAATTTTGAAGACGTTTTCTTGCTAGAACGGCGTATCAGGCTACGACTGCGTGGTTTTGATCGCTGACCTTCAGCGCCTTCTGGCATTTCAACATGTGGACTAAGAGTATTCAGTAGCTTAGATTTTCCTCCTGGAATATGAGCGCTGGAACGACGTCGCAGTCCAGTTTCTGTAAGAAGTGGGATTTTGGCCAAATGAAGAAATCCTTTGAATAACTCTTTGATGTTTACGTTGTCTTTAGCAGAACACTCCATCAATTTGGTTCTAAGTCGAGGAAGATCACAGAAGATCCACTCGGCAACGTCCTCTTTGGGAACTTCACGTTTTTCTGGTGACAGATCAGATTTATTTCCTACAAATATCACAGGAATCTCTTGAAAGTCTGCCCGTTGCTCGCGAATCTCTTCAAAACATTGTTTCATAATACCAACAGAAGATAAATTATCAATACTGTAAACAATGAGGAATGCTTGGGCATTAGCGATGGACAACCGTCTCATCGCAGGAAACTGAAGATCTCCTGCCGTGTCCAGCAAGTCTACTTTCAAGGTCATAGTTCCAAAGTCAAACTCCTTGTAATGAAGGTCCTCAACCGTGGGTCTATGTTTCTCACAAAATGTATTAGATAAAAATCTCTTAACAATAGCAGACTTACCAACCCCACCGCCTCCTAAGACAACCAACCGAACTCGATATTCACTGTCGTCACTCATGATTATTCAAGTGACGTCACACATACGTCAGCTGCAACAAGTAGAGAATAGTGCTCAAATTCCTTGAAAATCCTAGTGCCACCTACAAGAAAAAAATAACACAGGACTTAATTCGTAATTTTAATAAGTCTTATAATTAAAATATAAATATTAGTTTTAAAAAAAAATCAATGAATACATCAAACGAATTTAAAACAGAAAAATATTAAACGAAAAAAATATTTGTAGTTAATTCAAATAAAAACTACTGAAATTTTAGTCACCAGAAGATAATTCAAAGCTTTTGTATTTAAAACTAAGAAAATTCAGTAAGGTTAAATTATTCAACTGTAATGATAACCTTACCGTACAAGATGAAATTAGAGAAACTTTTGATTTAAATTCTAAAAATACCAAAAATATTATTTCAGTTGAATTATAATCTATATAATAAATTCTCAGTCTTAAACTCTTATCACAACTTCCATGAATTATAAAACAAAAATAGAACTAAAATGATATAGAATGAGCCCCCAAGTTGAGGCTAAACGTGGTGATTTAAGATTAGGGCATGAAAAAGAAAAAGCTGAACAAAAATTTATGTGGATAGTTAAAAACAGGACGACACTACAGAGGCTGTTCTCATGGTTCAGAGGTAAGCTTATGATGCTAATATTCAGGGTTTCATCCTTGCTGTGGACCCAGCACAGATAGTCCTTTGTGCATGTTTATGTTTATCAACAAACTACAAATGCTTTTGCACGATTCGCCCTTTTGTAAGAATGCTGGAATAGAAAAGCACATTATGAATCTATCAAAAATTATCTAAGTTTGTATTCGAATTTGGTTTTGTGTATTGAAAGCGAGATTACTATTAGTGTCTTATCACGGTTGAGAAAATAAGGTATAAAGCTATTAGTTCAGTGGCATTTAACAAAAATGTCTTTGTTATTTCAGTTGTAGACAGCGCTGAATGCAATATATTAAAATGATTTTGAATATGCGAATCAACAAGTCACGTGACAACCACCGCCAATACAAAGTAGCAATGAAACTGTATTTATCAGAACTATATTTTTACATTGTTGACATTTCATTGTTAAAGTGATTCCGCAGAAAATTCGGTTGGCTTTGGGAAGAGTATATAACAAACCTTCTTTGACGCAATTATTATTTTTTTACATTTAAATCATAAGATGTGTTCATATAGGGAATTTTGATGTTACAAAACGGAGATATACCTTGTACAGTCTTGGCCAAAATGTTTCCTTATTTTGTATCAAATATGATCATTATTATTGAGATGGATTACATTTAGCGCTGTCAATCTGAAAAATGCATGTTATATTAAACATCTACATACATAATTTCCATAATGAGACAAGTCCTATGGACATTATGAACGATTTATTAGAACAGCAACCAATTTTATCAGACACCATTAGAAAGATGTGTAATTCAGAATTTCATCTATCACAACAAAACCTTACCAAAACATATATAATGACAAATTGTAATATCAAATTATTACTGATAGCATCTGTAACCTTATATCTGTTCATATTAAACATCAGTACTTGGTTGGTCTTCCTCGTGCTCTAATAACCTCCTCAGGCCAACGTGGCGTACTGTCGATGAGATTATTGATGTAATACATCGTGATTTCATCCCAATTTTCACTAGAAGTTGTTGCAACTCAGCTAAAGCAGCTGGTTTAGGATCTTGGTTAGCAATTTTCCGGCTCAGTTATGCCCAACAGCTCAATGGGATTACAATCTGGAGACTTTGCTGGTCATGGCAACCTTGTAACGTCCTCCTGGTCGAGATAATCCTGTACAGTACCTGCACTGTGGGCAGTGGCATTGTCATCCTGGAACACAAAGTTATTGCTAAACCTTGCCTTAGCATATGACAGAAATGTTGTCTCCATGTGATGCCTGTAGGAGGCACCCTGGAAGATATGAAGAGCAGTTTTTCTGCCATGATGAATAGCTGCCCAAACATATACTGCACCACCTCCTGCGTGTTATCTGTGGGAAAGAAAGTCTTCCCTCATCTGATCTACAGGCAAACGACGAAAACGAATCCTACCATCAGCTTTAATAAGCCAGAAACAGGACTAACTGTAAATTGGCATGCTGGCGTGCCCAAGTAACATGGTTAGGGTGGTAAAGTCTGGTTAATATCAGTTTGCAGGTAGCTCTTCTTGCAAAATAACCTTCTTTAGACACTTTCCCATTCACTGTTCTTCTGGATATGCTGGAATGAATGTGTTTATGTCATTCCTGTTGTAAGTTGTTGCAAGAGTTCTTTAGACTTTGACGTGTTAACCTGATCCAAACACAGTCATCTAAGGAGGTAGACTTTCCTGGAACAACTTTTCCTGTAGTCCGATGACGTTTCGGGATTTTGGATACAGTACACTGGGAAAACTCTACTGTTCTGGCAATGTACGTTTGCTTCATACCATTTCTGTACAGTCGAACAATTTAACCCTATAACTTCTGACACGCGACGAAGCATGACCAAGGGACAGAGAAACTGTCCCAACAAAGCGTTGATCTGTTTCGAAAATATTATACGAAAAGCACACCCTTTTATACAACACAGATGTATATGTGTGTTTGACGAATAAATGCTCAAAACAACTTAAAGAGACCAGAATAACAACTAGAGCATGTTTGTCCGATCATAGGCTACCTTCCCTGTTATTACTATGAACTTTACTCAATAATTACTCCGTGCATATAGACAATAACACCAATATAGAACAGTATGCAAACATTTTGGCCAAGATTGTAATTAATTCACAAACAAAAAATAAGGATGGATTTGGGGTACAAGAATCATCTAGAAAGAGATCTAAAACAACTTATAGTCCAGTCGTGGTAAGCAAAGTGAGAATCCACGAACGCAACACAGGCGAGAAGGATCTCGATCTCCCTCTAGGTAAGTGACACAGGTTTCTTCCACAACATATTAATTTAACTGTCCTGCCTCCAGCAACTGAAGAATGAAACGGGTATTCATATTATTCGATGCGAAGACAGTGGTAGCCCCCAGTGGATCAGCAGTAAGTATGACAGATTATGACGATAAAAACTGGATTTCGATACCCGTAGTGGACACAATATGGATAACCCATTGTGTAGCTTTGTGTTTAACAACAAACAAGCAAAGACATAACGGTCAAGACTATGGATTTCTGTGGAATTGGACTGTTGCAACAAGAGATGGGAAATCCTTGTCCTCGTACACTACATGTACTATGGAAAACATGCAGGGAGGAGTGGTGTGCCTTAAACATGAAAGCCTTAAGACAGAGCATTTTGCAATGGAAACTACGCTGCAAAGCTAATATCAAGATGGATGAAATAAAGGACGTGGCGACATGGATTGTAAAGACGTAGTGATACTCCAAAATCGTTTTATTATACAAAGGAAGACTTTATTAATTTAGTTATATTTAACAAAAAATTATTATTATATTTCAGATACATTCTATAAAGAATGGCTTTGATAACTGACTATAATTAATTTATAGATTTTATAGTTATGTATAATTAAAAAATTGCTTTATTGGTTCAGTTTGAATGTGCTAGTTATTTTAGACAGCAAATATTGCTCCCAGTGGTAAGTCCCCAGACATACCGCTGTGCGAAACCCGGTTTCTAGCGTTGATACTCGTGGTGGGCAGAGCACAGATAACCCATTGTGTAGCTTTGTGCTTAACTTCAAAAAACAACTACAAAAAAAAAACATACAACATCAATCTGCACTCTGGTGGGCAGAGCACACATAGCCCATTATGTAGCTTTGTGCTTAACTTCAAAAAACAACAACAAAAAAAAAAACATACAACATCAATCTGCACTCGCCACGGGTATTAAACCACAAGTTTTAACGTTATAGGCCTTAAGCTTGCTACCAAGTCAGTGGGGCCAAAAATATTATAGAAATCATAAAATTGAAAACAACTAAAAATTTTACCAATAATCCTTTCAGTATCCCTGGTGGTCATTGTTAGAGAAAAATCAAGTAATAATGTATTATCTTATTAAAGTACAATTATTTGAAGACAAAGATATTTCCTTCACAATTATTCAGGTTTACTAAATTTATTTTAGCTATAACACGTTTAAATGTGTGTGTCTTTGGGAAGTTCTGAAACAACAGAGATTTCTAAGTTTATTATTGTCGTTGTTTTCAGGGTACGTGTTCCAGTTTCATTTTTATGGTAAGAAAACAAATTCAACATTTATATTCTAAACCTAATTAATTTGTAAGTACATTTCCACTAGAACAAGCAATTAAAACACGGTTTTTATCTCAATAAACAAATTGATTATGAAAACTCTCCTCGTTATTAATTGGAAAATTATTACCACTCTCGAGCTAACGAGATTGGTAAAGAAAATGTGAACATTTAAATGCTTAGTGTTAATTCATGCTTACATGTCGAGTTTTTAAATGTTTGTAATTATATTTCCAGTTAAGCGTTTTGAATTATGAAATTTACTGCTAACATTAGGTAAATGCTCGCTCTGTACATTTCTCCAAGAAACATAATAGCATTAAATGTTAAAAAAAAGTTCAGTAACTGCATCAACAAACTTGCATCTCCTTGGAAACCGTTGTCGCGCCTGTTTTCTAACAGGAACGCGTTGGCAGTTTATACCATAACTAAAAGACCTTTTAGCATCAATGCTGGTAGTATTATTATAACGAATTATTTAATTAATTTATTGTTTTTAATGTGTTCCACTCAGGCGTAAGTTTCATAAAAATATTTAAAATCATCTCATCTGGATCACTAAATAATGAATGTTTAATTAAATAAAGTCAATCTAATATAAATGAGCTCCCTACTCTAAATAACAATACAACTTCAGTTAACTTGTATGATTCCGCTAAAAATTGTAATATTCACATTTATACTTTACACGTATCCTACTTTTTAATATTCATTTTTATATTCTGTTTTAATTTCGCTTTTTTTAAATTTTGGAACTTTATAACTTTAGAAATGTCTATATTTAATGTTTTATCTTGTTTAATATAGCTTGCTGAAGATGAGATATGGATATTTCGAATTTTCAAACT